AACAAAATATTTCACCTTTGTGTCAGCTCTCCAACCGTTTTTTAAAAAAACTGGCTCTCCACTACTCAAATGGACTTTCAGCCACATCTCCAACACAAACTTGCTCTACCAAGTCCATTAGACACTTGAAGAAGTCTACCATTTAGTTACTTTTTATGACTATTCTCTAAAAATGGAAATCTTTCCCACCCCAACAGACCAGCTATTTGTCACAGTAACAAGTTTAGATATGATATTGCAGTCTCCTCTGCAGACTGACTTGATCCTTAGATCCTCCTTAAGAGGAAAGTTATTCCCATTACTACAATTTAAAACAGGGGTCTTAGATCTCTGCTCTCCTGAGGCATCCTAGGTTCAAGATGGGTAAATGGTTACAGAAGGGTGAGGGGCTCCCTGCTGGGGTCCTGGAAGGCAGTAAAATTTTTTATCCATCTCTTTGCTGTAGGAACCCTGGGGCATGCTGTAACTGACAGCTGAAAAACCCATAAAGCATCATGATTTTTTCTCCTTATCACATCAAGAAGGTGGGAAGCCAAGACTGACTGTGCTACACAGACAAAATATGGAGCCAACGGAGTTCTGGATGAGTTTATGAGATGTGATGAACTGAAAATATGGGATCAATCACTAGAAAATTGCTTCTTGCAAAGGAAATTCAGCTGCCTCTTTCAAAACTGGAGCCTGTGATAAAACAAGCTATAAATATATACAACAATAACAACACAAAATGAAACAAACAAAAAATCCCCAGCAATTTGCTCCATACAATTAACCCTGAGGCCTACAAAGCAAACACATCTTCACTTAAATGAAATGCCCTGCAAATGGTTAGATTTCTAACCTTTTTAATAGTGCCCTCCAAAAACAAGTGGATGGAATTATCAATGACCACATGTTACAGCACAAGGGTATCAGTATAGTCAATCTAGTATAAATTTCTAGAAAAAGATAAAACTGCCTGAACAAGGTTACTTTACTGTTATTATATTTTATTCACATAAAATTATTGAAAATAAATTGCCATTAGATCAGTCCAAAATAAGTTTTTGTTCCAATTTTTTCAGTTTGCACATAAAAATGGGGGGAAACCCAATTACTAATGATTTTAAGGAAAACTTAACTTTCTCACAGAAAGCAAACCTTGAAGCATTCTGAAACTGATACTCTGAAGTCCTAGTGTTACATATGAGAAGCGGCAAAGAGCCAAATTCTTATAGCAAAGAAGTCTATTGGCATTGCCTGTGAGAATGCTGCTGTTATAACTGTTCCCCTATTAGCTACTGTACCAGAAACTATAGAGCTTAATTTGCATTCTAAAATTCATTTGGGGCAACTCCTAAAAGCTGGACTAAAACAATGAGAGGAACTTTCAGAATTTGTTATCACTCATTTTCACTTTTGACTCCAGAAAGTAATTTCTGAAACATAAAAGTAACAGCCACATAAATTTTTTTGCACCCCAGAATGAAGGTGCCCATAACTAAGGGCACAAAATACATGTGCCAGAGGGTTACCTGCAGTGCAAGACAATATTACAAGATTATGCAATATTTATTGCAATGCAAGAAAGCGGCCCTATGTAACAGCAAATGGGGCAGTTGAGCAGAGCTCTATCTGTAGACAACCAGGAATATTAACAGCACAATAATGCCCATGCAAGGACATCTATCTAATTTGCAAGTATGAAAAATAACAATCTATCAGTTTCTGCCCACGACTACCACTTCTATAACTAAGAAATTGTTAAAATTTCAAATAAAATGCTGAAGCATATTTTCAACATATTACCTTTTAGATCAGGGATTTTTTACATTCAGGATTTGGCAAGTCATTCCAAATAATTTGTGGCGGAGGAAAGGGAGGGGAAGAGAGAGGGAGAGAAAGAAATAGAAAGAAATCTGCTCCCAAATAATTTTAGTGGCATTGCTTTGAGGGTATGTCACTAGCATTTAGAACTGGTGGTAGTGGATATGTCTGTATGCAATGTTTGGCTCACATCTGACGCGACACCTTTGACTGCAAAAAGCCTCATAATTCTGTCCTTTTTTGTGAAGATATTACCAGATTTATACTAATTCAAAATTATTCCCATAATAATCATAATAAAATACCAAAATTTTCTTGTTTTTCCTATTACCGACCTAAAATATTACTTTGAATGATTCTGAAGCTTCCAGTTGTTTCTAAGTTGCCATAACCCCGAAATGAAAGACTAAGTTATTTTAGTTTTGTTTACAATTTTAGTAAGTAAAATACATCATGCTAGACATTTGCAGCAGTGCAACTGGATTGGATTACTAATGGGGATAAGCATGCTTCTTCTGTCCTCAAAATGAAGTTCACCTTTCAGATCTGACTTCTTCAGCACAAAACTGCTGCTAACAAAAGCAGCACTGAATTATTGCTAAGACATATTTGTGAAATTAGGAAACTCCTTTTTTAGTGGGATACATCTTCTTAGATAACAGAATTAACACAAGAGCCAATTAACAGTAATTGAAAAAAGCAATGACACATTTGTGATTCTTGTCTAGGGAATTATGAAGCAGGAGATCTAGTAAAAGAAAACTTACTTGTGATATAGGTGTGGTATTTTTCCTTAGATTCCACTTTGTTCAAAATATTTCATAGCATCACATAAGGGAGGAATTTTCTATTTTCTTATTACTTGCATCAAACTAAAGTATCTCAGCAAGGCATCATATTGTCACTGAGGCAGGATTTATCTTGGTTAGAGCTTTTGAAAATATGAAAAACTGGTTTCTAACTAGTCTTACAAGAAGATTTAATAACTAGCAACAACAGAAAAACTTGGGTAAATAAGCAGCTTGGTGGAAAATCATATTTATTTAAAATAGTATAATATTTCTTAACTATTTCAAAATTTTTCACCTGTTTATTTTTACTCACTATTCAGAAAGCACATTTAGTGAAATATGAAACTTACTTATGAGCTGCTTTTAAGCTGATGGATACAGAGCTCTCTCTTCCTAGAAGTCCCCTTTGCATCTGCTGTTCTTTCTGTTTAAAGCCCTTCTCTTACTATGAGCCAAAAACACTTCATGAGATTATTTTCAAACTCCACATTAACATTTTCCAAACATTTAGCACAACCAGAAACACTGAGAAGTTGTAGAAAGTGCAGTGTCAGCAGCAGACAAGTTCCTCAAGGACAAGAGCAGCAGCTGGAGTCATTAGCTAGAAGGGTTTACCCTGGCCACAGAGCAGCTAACTACTTTTAATTGCTGTCACAAGTTCAATCCACTCTCCAGAGCAGGTGAAGAAAGTTTGGAGAGGAAGAGGGTTTTTACAGCTGCAGCCAGTTGTTACAGCTGATTCTTATTCCTCCATTCTGGTAGGACTGAACTGCAGCTGCAAGGAATCACACAAAGAGAGATGGTCCCTCAAAAGAGAATTACCTTTTCAAAAAGTTTGATAAAAATAAATATGGTGATTTAAGAGTATGATACAAGAAGTTTCTCTGCCACCTGTTTTGTGCCAAAAGGAAGGCAGCATCTAGTGGAAGGCACTGGTCCCTAGACACTCAACAATGCCACTCTTAAACAGGCTCTGGCAGTGTCATTTGAAAGACAGCATCTTATGTATTCACAAGCATCTTTGATGGGCTTTGTTGCTTTCACAGAATGACAGGTTCTGTATCTGTCAGCTTCAGCTGGACTAATTTTCAACACTACACAGACTCAAGGACAGAAACAATTTTCACTTACTAAGGCAGTTCTTTCATCAAAGTCTGGAATATGAGTCTCACCCACGAAGAGAGACGTAGAAGTTTGCACCATTACACACTGCCCTTTACAGCTGACAGCTGATGCACCCTCATTTGTTTAAGAAGAAATTTCTCTTTCTCTATTTTCTACCCCTACTTTATATTCAAATATCTCTAGCTCAACTACTTCCCTACTAGTCATAATACTTCCCATGCCTTCAGAAGTTACAGAAATTGTGCTTGGGAAGAAGGACTTTCTGGCCATATAAAACTAGTCCTTTTTTCTCAGCTCATACACAACATGATAAAACAGAAGGTACTGCAGATATCAGATTTAGCATTTAGATGCCAACATCACCCTTTAACACATGTGTTATGAATTTTAAAGCATTTTGAAATCTAATAGAGATGGAGCTTTCTTTTCTGAAAACTTATATGCCATTGAGGATGGACGAGATGTTCTTAGGTGAAGAGTTCTCTGCAATGGCCAGGAAGACAAATTAATCAGAAAACTGAAAGAAACATTTATGTGAATGTAATCTAAGAATTATATTAGTGAGATGGCTAGATCTTTATTTGATTATTCATTCAAATTCACCTCCCTTTACAAAGTTTATCTTTTTTTTCTCAAAAAAACTTCTCAGTGAAGTCCCATCTCATCTGAAGTTTAATGGAATACTATATAATTATTGCTCTAGCATACTGCACTAATACATTGCTATTAAGAAGGATTATATAAGTTAATAAAAAAGAGTGATGCTTAGTTCCACCAACACAGGAGGGAAAATAATCACTGCAAGGGAAAAGAACTAATTAAAAAGAAATGTTGCTATTATATCTAATTTGACAGGAATCAAGATTCCTATTCTCGGACTAAAGCAAATCTTTTTAATGAACAAAATAGGCAGACGATATCAAGTGCAACTTCATTCAAATACAGCAAAGACTCCTGATTCTGTAATGTTTATTTTACCCTTTCTACAAAAAATAACATGTCATGTACCCAATTCTAGCAAACTGTTATTGGTAAAATAATGGTTTAAAGGCATTGATGTAAGTAAAATAATATAGGCAAATTCTGTATAGTTAGTTCAAGTTAACTTCAGCCCATTATAATTACAATAATTGCTGCTTTTGTCTACTTCTAGCATAGATAAGATGATTTTCAGCATTAGAAGAAAACAAAAAAGCAACCTTATCCCTGCCAGCAGCTCCATCTCCATACACAGGCTTCTCAAGAATGTAGTAAAATAATATAGTATTATTGCCTTACCTCAATTTTTTCCCATATGGTTTCATAATTCTCTTGATGTTGTATATCTTGCATCAGTTGATGAATTAAAGCTGATTTATTTGAAGGAGAAGTCTCATTCCCAGTGGGCTGAGTGGCAGCAGTCCTTTCTGACTTTTCTTCAATGTATTTTTTAATGCAAGACACAGGCATACAAAGATCTTCATCAGAGAGAATATCACTGAGAGGCCCAGATTCAATACTGTCACCTACTGAGGATACTATATCGCTTGAAGAACTTGGTGAAATTCTACCCCTTTTTTTGTGCTTTTTTGTCTGGTATGTTGGATACATTTCTGAATCTGAGTTCATTTCTGACAGCTCCCAGTCATCAATGTTTTGAATGGTTTCTCTTCGGGGCTTTTGGGGCAGCAACTTTGTCAAGTTTTCTAGTTTTAAAGCTAATACTTCAGTCTGTTTGAGATGTGAAGGAAGTGCTAAATATTCATCAGATCCATACCATACCTCGTTGTCCTTAGTGGTTTGCTGAGCATAGTGTGGTGTTGAAGATAAGCTTTTATTTTTCTTTCTTCTCAACAGAAGAGGGGATGAGCTGGAAAGCTCAGAACCAGCTGAAGAAGCACTCTTTTGGCTATGTGTTGCTGAGCTGAAGGGCTCAGTTTTAACTTGTGATTGCCCACTTGGATCTCTCTCATTACAAGAATCTGAAGATGCAGAAGAATCTGTTTCTGTCTCCTCCAGAGACTTAGAGCTATGAGAAGTAATTCCATTCTGCAGAGAACACCCTGTTTTTTTGACCTGGGTTGATGGAGTTGTGTTACACATACTTGCAGGTGTTCCATCAGTTTTCACTTTCTCTGGAGAATCACGAGACTTCTTGTGCTTTGATTTTTCTTTACAGGTGTAGAAAGTACACTTTTCTAGAATAATGGGACTGTCTTTGAAGTGATTATTTATTGTGTACTCAAGATTTTTATCACTTATTGTATTTAAGCTATCATATGACTGACTAACTGCTGATGGACTGTTGGTATAGGGCAGCTGTAAAGCTAGGCAAAGCTTGGACCTGTCTGGTGGATCTAACAATGAGGGTGTACTTCTACTCATTTCATTTTTAACTATTTGAGAGATTTGCCTTTTTAAGTCGTTGGCTTCCATATACTCTTTAAACACATCATCTTTCAGAAACAAGCCTCTTTTTGGCAATGTAGGCTGCGTGGGGGAGTCTTCATTATAGTTAAAGCAGTCTCTTATGGACCTCTTCGGTGTTGAATTTTCACAGTGAGAGTGTTTGATATTTTCACCAGTATGCTGTGGGGGACTGCTCTCTGGATTCTTTGATATGGAAAGTGCTTTGCTGTCAGTAGGTAAAACACCATTTTCAGAGAAAGGTCCTTTAGAAAGAGAGGAATTTCCAGAAGGAGATGTTTGTGAGAGATCACATGATGTTTTCTTGTCTTTGGTTTCTTCTCTATCTTCTGCTGAAAGAGGTACATGATCTTCTTTGTCCTTCAAAGCTTCATTACACTGGGAAGCAATGGAATCTGTTGCTACTGCAAGTAAACCCACACTTCTGATAAGTCCTGGAAATTCCTTATCCATCTCACTGTAGTTCCAGGATTCAAATGATTTTGCTTTCCCTTGGCCGGAGGTCATATCATCCAGAGCACCAAGCAAATCCTCACTAGGACTGTAATCAGATAGTTCAAATGCAGTAATACCACAATCCAGGGACAAGTAATTTTGAGAACATTTGATGGTTAACTGTCCAGAATCATCAACTTCAGTTAAAGAGTCAAGACGATCCTGAAATACACAAAGAAATGTTTGGGTTTTTTTTTTAATATTAATTTTCATACACAGAACACACAAAGTAATGAAATAAAAAACAATTCCTGTGTTTTACTGCATAACATCTAGAGAAGGGGTCATCACTGACCTGTCTCTTTTTGCAGTACCCTGTATTAAGCTAACCATTCTGAAGTATTTGGGAATTAAAAATGGCAGTAAGTTGAAAAATGCTACATTTCAGTCTGGTACAGCAAGTTATCTAAAACAGAAACTCACTTTTGTATTGGTATTTTCCTAATTTAATTCTGCTTTCAGTTTTACTTACTGTGTAGGTGGGGATTCAGAAATTCTATACAGTAGACTTGAAGTATTTCCTGTGTTAACTACATCAAACAGGAGGAAGGGCACTTTGGGGGCTGCTGAGTGTACGAGTCTCCTTGTTAATCTTGTTTTCTCAAAAATCCATGCTGTTCTATCATCTTTCAGATGATTGGCAGAATGTTTTTTCCAAGCAAAATGATGAACATTTTTTCCCATAATTTTAAGACAGAGACTGCTAATTTCATTTCACTTTTTTTGTAGCATTATCATCTGAAAATTTATTTGCCAGCTATTTAGAGCATAAATGAAGAATGGCACAAAGAAAAGAAACTATAATGTTATGTTAAGCCTCCAGTCTGACATGCTCGGTTGTCAATATTTTCTCAGTGGAAGTCCTTCAATTTCAGAAACAGGGACATAACCAGAGGAGACCATTTCAGGTGGAAAATGACATTTTAAGATCAAAGTCAAATTAGTGCTTATAAATATTTTGGTCTTTTTTGAAGGAGAGATGAGATTAAGATCCAAAACTGCATGATAAAAAACATTCACAGCAAAACTATATTTAGTATACAGTGTAAGCATATTTTCAGCAGATCTTCTAATATATAGTACTTTTGCTTATAGAGACTGCTTAAATAAAATATCATGAAGGGGAGAAATTCATGTTCTAGGATTCTAATTTTACACGGCTAAATCAGAATACTGGTCTTTCTTTCCAGGTTTCTTCTGATAATAGTTTTTTGAAGCAAACTCCTGAGTATCCACAATAGGTTTATGTCTGAATAACTTGTCTCACTACATTGCCCAAATCCCTAGTTTAAAGGCCCTTAGCATCATGCTTAAAGAAGGTGCAGTAACCACCTAATCTCTCCATCTCACAATAAACTACATGGATTTGATCTGAACAGGAATTATATTGATAAAGAAGGCTATTGTTTGCCAATGCCCATAAAGATAAAAACATACAATATCTGAGCCCTGTGCTCCATCCAACCCCACTCTTTACTTCAAGTAAAAATAGAATAAAATCCTCCAGCTAGAAATACTGATAGAAAAAAATCACTAGAAGCGTATCAGCCATAGTCTTGGATACTGAATGTATCTCTTCTTTAGCAAATTCTATCCAGATGTAGATCCCATGCCACAAATTTGGCATTGTCAACAGCTCGGAATTAATAGGGGAATTTTCTATAAATCTGTCAAATTTATATATTGGAGCCGCATTTGTTAAGGAAAATAGTGACTAAATAAGCTGCATTGTCCTTCTAATCTCAGGAAATTATTAGAAACTGTAAAACCATTTATAAATCAAAACCTTCCCAAGGCCCTAAGAGTCTCTATTTTTTCTGAGTAATGAGCTCTATTCCTTTGTCTCTTAAAAAAGTATTTACATAAATAAAATTTACAATCATATGCATTAAACCATGTTACTTGGTCATTTTCCAAGCAGCCTCTGAAATGCATGCTTCAGATGAGCTTTATTTAATGCCCGTATTATAATATTTTTTTATTGTTTTTATCTCAAAAAATTATTAAATTTAGTTATCTGTATGGCCACCAATAGGAATGCTCTAGTTAATTTTTTTTTCCTTTTCACGTAGTAATGCTTACTTTAAAAATACCAACACTAAAAAAAACCATGGGTAAGAGTAAATACAATTGTCCCTACATTATACCTCATAAAAACTTGAATATGTGAAGGTTAGAAATTGCAGAGCAATTTCTGTGGACCTATTCAAGCAATAAGGCAGAAACTTGATACCAACTTTGTGTCCCTGCTATTGCTAGCCATTAAATTTATCAAATATTATTTATGTTTTAATTGGAGTGGATAAAAAATATAAAAATATAATTTGAGTATATTTCATGTCATAGTACCATGTAAGCCTATCTGGCAACATATGTTTTCCCTACTGAAAAATAATCTTTTCTCCCCCAGTCAGTTCTTCTCTCTATAGCAGGGATGTTTTTTACAGCAGTTGTAATCAGATCCAGATGGAACATTTCCTGTTTCTTAGTATCTGAATATGCAGCCTCTTTATGTCTTAAAATTACCATGTCCTTGTCATAAAATAATGACTTCCTGCTAATTCACAAACCTGGGTATAAAGAAGAATAGATTTCCTTCAGACCTGCAAGCATTTTACTAGCAAGGGCAAAGCAGAAACTGAATCTGAAAGAGCCAGGTGTGGGAAATAGTAAAGGTAAGAAGATTTCCAGAAAGCTGTAAAAGCAGGCCTTAGAAACAGAAAGAACAGAAAACTTAGAGCTAGCTGCAGCTGCAAAGTCTGAAAGTAGAAAAGTTACAATAGTGCAGCAAGGAAGGGCATGAAACAATAGTTTGAGTTTCAGGCTTGGCTAGGATAGACCTTAAGACTGCCGAAAAATATGCTTAGCAAGACAGTAGAAGGTTTTAAGCTTAATAATGAAGTATTGTGTACTGTTAATAGAGAGCATACAAGCAGTGTGTGCAGCAGGTGTATGTATACTTTCAGTGATTGGCTAGAACAATTGTCTGTAAGCTTTAGCAATATGCTATTGGCTAAAAAGGTTTTTAAATGCTCTGTAACAAAGAAATCTTTGGCTGCTGCTGGCAAGACCGTGAGCTGTTGCCATCTTCCTCCTGTCTCAACCATGTAATGAGACTGATGCCACAATAAAGCTCAAGGAATGTATCCCAGCAGTCCCATCCTGTTCATGAAAAACCACCAACACAGCCAGGTATGTATGCATCAGGAAGAGGGGGAGTGGAAGGTGGGCCTGGGCATCTGTGAGCATTGATTTCTGGACCACCCCCTTTGTTGTGCCAAAGGGAAATATGAAACCCAACATGGAGCAGAGAAATATTCATATTCTCTTTGAACTTGAGTATATGAAATTCAGGACAGGTCTAGGGGACTTCTGACTTCCTATGTAACACAGGTCACAGAATGCACGTCACTGATCTAGAGGTCTCTTTCTGTAAATGCACGTAATCATTACTAAAGCATTTTATCTTAATCTTAGGACTATCAAATGAAAAATTGTCAACATGCCATGTATTAACCATTAATTATCCTAACTATCAAAAACATCCATCTTCTTTAAGTTTAAAAAAAGTAGCCCAGTAGTGTCCTTCTAAGTTAATTTAGTAACGATAATTTCAAAAGAAAAGGCATTTTAGTTAAATGAACCCAGCTTTACAAAGCATTTACAGGTGTGTGAATCTGGCATACAGTCAGAGTAAACAGTGTACAATTTTTGCATAGTTGTTTCTCAGAAAAAAATCATGACAGTTTAAAAGCATAATGCAGAATTGCCACTCATATAAAGACCATCATCTTGCTATAGAGGAATGTTGACTTAGGCTGGAAAGTTTTGGAAACATTTTATAAGCTTCACATTTGTGTATGCAGAAAGAAAATGTCTAAACTTGCACTGAAGAAATCACTGCACAGTGAAATTAACTTTTGAATTGGCTGCAAACCTTAAATACTCAAGTGACCAGATGAACAACTTTGGAACAGATGCACCTCTGTAGGTCTTTCACATCCTTTCTGGAAAATATTTCAATCAAGAGAAAACTCTGATAGAAAACACTGCCACTAGTATGATATTTCTGAAAGCTGATCTTAATTTGCACTAATTTGGTTTAAAATAACAGGTGTTGTCTAAAAATTAAAAAAAAAAACCATTAAAACTTATTTAGCAAAATATCTAGAAGTCTTCCTTAAAGCTGTCATCCTAGCAATTTTAAATGTGCAGTAGAGATGATCTGCTTTGAACACAGATAAAACCCTTCAAACTGCAGTTAGTTACTGTACCTCCTTAGTCTCTTCAGAAAATGCTTGCAGAATATCAGTCTGCCTGGTGTAGTTTCCATTGGCGTCCTGTAGTCCCTGGAGAATGCGTTCTCTCAGAACCAGGACAGAAACACGTAGCTGGTGCCAGAGGAGTTGCACTGTATGAATGTCGACTATCACATTGACAGAGTAAGACAGAAGCTTCAGGGAAAACTCGGTCTCTAGTAGAGCATGGATTTGTTCAACATGATCAGATATATCTTCACAAATATCCTGTAATGGAAAAATAAAGTAGATATTTAGCTACAGGCATGGTCTTCTCATGGATCAGATCTACTTTTCATGTACTTTTAATTAAATGCAGAATAGATTTTTTTCATAGAGGAAATATACTGTAATTAATACCTCCAGTTTTTTGGTTTTTTTGGTTCTTTGTTTGTTTTTTTTTTTTTTTTTAATTCATGGCAATGTTACAGCAACTGAACCAGCAGCTGTACTATTTGGCAGTACTGCTCAGTAAGTGCAGAGACAGCATACAGTATAGAAGGATGGCACAACAAGATCACATGAATCACAAGGAGAAAACTAACACCATAAAGTGACATCCTAGAAGACAGCAATAGCAATGAAAGTGATAAGATTGCCAGGAGCTACCGCCCTCTGTGCTACACACACCAGTTAAAATGCAAAGAATCTGGTCTCTGCCATCATCAAAGAAATTCATTTAGACAGAGTTTAAATCCAGCCTCTATAAGAAGGACAAAAGTCTGGGATAGACTCAATGGGAATAAGCTATTTCTGCTACCCATTGCTGTCTGTGCTGGTCACAGGGCACTGATTTTCACATTATCTTGCTCTGGGCACAAAACTGAACAGAAGATGGGGGGAAAATGAGAAAGAAGGAAAACAGAGAAGCTGGAAACATCTGTGCTGAGAAAGGAGAAAGCAAATATGGGTTACTAGGTTATAAAGCCAAACTTTTGATGGGATGGTATCCTCCAAATTTAAAATTAACATTACAGATTATTAAGGTTATGCTGCATATAGAATAAAATAATTTCAATCTACTCTTCATTCTCTTTGTGAAAGGACAAATCACAATGCTAAGGAACATTTAGGCATATACTATTGAGCAAACATCACTCTGTAACATTTCTGTTTGAAAACTATATGTAAAAAGCATGTTATATACAAGTAAGGAAATGTGACTTAAACACTGAAAAAAATTGGCACTGGACCTAGAAGTTTTCTTCCAACATCTCTGGCAGTGAATTAAGGTGACTGAACGACATATTTAAAGTCAAGACCTACTTATAAAAAAATATTAATTTCATTAAAACCTCCTGAAATCTCATATATATATATATATATATATATAAAAGTGAAAATAATCATAATTTTGCATTTCAGATTTACTATTGAAACAATTCTATCAGACAATTGCAATGAAATTTTATGTCTCTGATGACCTTGGTTTTGTACAGCAGTAGCATAACAGGAAAATTAGTAAACCTGATTATTTCTAAATTAATAATACAGAACAGTACTTTAAGCTCAGATTTGGTATCTTCAGTATGAAAGTAAAGAAAAAGTATTTAATATGTAATTTCATTATGTAACAAATTAAATGAAAATGAAATCTCTAGACAATATTAAATAATTTTGTACAGAAGATAGTACAATATCAGCTGTTATCAGGTGCCATTATTAGGGACTAATTTTAATAAAACACTGACAGTTACATCAAGTCCTCTGCAGAAGGAGTTCTCAGAAATGCCAGATGAGCACAAAACTTTGGGGTTTCAATGAGCAGATCATTGCAGACACATTGAGAGAAAGGCAGTATCTCTTCCCCTGAACCCTCAGTCCCTTGCTGTAACAAGCAGCATCTCTATTTGCAAGTACAACACACACAGCCTCCCCTGCCAACATGCAGTGCTGCAAGTGCTCAGTGCTTCCAGTATCACACAATTCCAGGTGAGCAAAAGGACACTAGTTACCAGATTAGTATGCTCATCTAATGCTAACAAACATGCAGACAGAGCTAAAACTCTGAGTTTTGGAAAAAGATCATTATATCCATTTAGCCAACTATAACTGATACACAACTGAAAAGCATAGCTGTAATTCTATGTTGTTTCAAATGTTTAAAGAATATTTCTAATTAGTTTAACTCAATTTGCATTTACTTCTTCAAGATTGTTAATGTTTTTTCCTCTTGGCCATAATTCAGTTTAATTTTCATTTCAGTGATTAAAAAATAGATCGTGTCCAGTAACTGTAATTTTGTAAATTAGACACAGTCTACAGAAAAGTACTTAATAGACCTCCATTTAGACTATTTATGTGAACAAGCTTAAGGATATGCCAGACTCCAAAACAAGTTTTTAATAGTTTCAAGCTTTACACATACAGTCATATGCTGAATTCAACTAACATATGAATTCTCAAAGTGGTTAAAAACAGAAAGCCATAAGAAGAAAGAACTAACAATGAACAAGTGTCTTCTGACAATTGTTTGATAATGTACTGAAAATATTGGCTAATGAATCTAGATTATATTCTAAATCAATAATTCAGACCCACACTTCAAACAAGTTTTCTCTTGATGTCCCATTATGCTGGCTACAAAAACATCTCAAATTTCTGAAGTAGACAAACTTTCCACGACAAATCAACTTTGTACTGAAATGCAAATCCCAGCACCACTAGGGGTTTGAAAGAAGCAGATATTCGAGAACATATGCTGTTAATTTTTGCATGGCTTGCTAGAAATTGCTCATTTTTCCTCAAATAGCAAAGTCTACATATTACTGTGGCACACAGCGACAGCCAAGTGCTTTATATACTAACAAGGTAATTAACAGCTCCTTACAGCTTCAGTAACACTGAGAGAAACAAAGCCTGAACTTGGTCACCTCCAAAATCATATTCTCTGATCTTATCAAATAAGACTACCAAGTCAGGAAAAGACAAAGTACGAGCTCTTAAAGGATTTAGGTTATAGACAGTATGTGTGGCTTACATAAAGCTTGTAAAAAAAATAATTTAGGCCCCTACTGATACCCTCTTTCCTTGATTTTAACTGTCATATGATGGTGTGAAGGTAAAGACGGTGCCGATGACAGAATAACTGTACAAAGTTAATGCTAGCCTTCAGGAGAAAATACTTACAAAGAAATGCTAACTTTTGCCATCTAAATTAATGCTGATTAGTGTTCAGCAGAACAGCATTAATAAAGCTGCATCCTACTTATTTGCATCTTTTCTTTACACTTGCCTGGCACAAACCAATCATATCAAGAGGAAACAATACAATGTCAAATCCAGTTGACATTTTCTAGTCACACTTTTTCTTTTTGCTGTATCTGATGTCTGGATTTACATATAATTCAGTAAAATTAAATAATTACACCTAGCACAGCTTTGAATTTAATAATTTTCTGTAATAATTCACACAGTTTAAATAGTGCACAAAAAAGTCATGTAAAAGTTATGTAAGTTCATGATTTTATTGAGGCTCAGAATCAAGACCTCGCACCATAGGTTTCATTCTCCTAGTTTTTCCTGACTTCTTGTAGGTGACAGCATTAGATAGAACAAAACCAGCAGAACACTGTTTTATGCCTTTTTACACTTTGTATTTATAAATAAAGAACAGCAGTGTCACAAGATACAATCTAAATGCTGCCATGAGTGCCACTTGCTCTTACCAAAAGTGACAGATAGATAAAATAAATCATGCACTTTTAAATAATAATCTACTGGTATCTGTTTGTAAATAAACATAGTTCCAGGTCAACAGTAATAACATAAAGCCTATAAATAGATGGGACAAAATCTTCCCCATTTTAATAGCACATAGTTTCATATCAGAATAATGTAATATAATTTAATTTTTAGATAATATAATTAGATTTTTAGAAAGCAGCATTGCCAAAACAATTTTTAGAATCATTAATCTCACATATCAGCTAGGATTTTTCATACTGTTTTTTTTACACTGTTTCACAGTGATATTAAGATAAAGATTTTCTCATCCTCTCATGGGCTTTCCCGTAGCACTGACTGTGGAATTTCTCAGGCTACAAGGCTTGTACCCTATTTGGCTGCCAACTGCCCACTTCACTCAGTCTCCCAGACAGCTGATCATGTAATTTGCAGCTGCTGAATCCTTCAGCCTGCTCACAGCCCTCCATGTCAACTAAAATAGCCTGAATCGCAAACACTGCAGTAGATGAAGAAAAGAAGCATACACAAGAGTCAAAAGTCAATGAAAACCACTTTGATGTTGACTTTTAAAAGCATTTTCTCTCTGGTCCCTAAGAAATTGTGTTAAGATATACATGAAACTACTGAAAGATGAAAGGTTGGAATATGTTGTTTTAGAGTTAGTACCAGTGATAGAGAAGCTATACTGGAGATTTTTTTCTTTGATCTTGCAGTAAGACCTCAGCAGGAAAAACAGATTGCTACTGCATCTCACAACTGCTGTACATGTAAATATAATCTATGATTTAATGAAATTTCTATCTATTAGGTCTTTTCTTTTATGTGCTTTTTAATTCTTCAAAGACAAATATTTCAATCAGCATGTACAACTTCTTCTCTTCAGAAAAAAAATTTTGAATACATGCCACAGAATTTTTAGATTTGCTACTTTAATTGGACTTTAAAATTATAATTTAACTCTCCGCCTTGCCCTTTTATGCTTATGGATATATAAAAAAGGAAAAGAGATTTTTATTTCTGAACATCTTTTAGAATGGTCTTTTTCCTTTAAAATGCACTCTGACTTTGCAAAGAAACAGTTCCTCATTTTTCTCATCCCTATCTGCTGTACATTCAGTGTTACAATAAAGATAAAACTTCTATTATCAGTGAAACCTTAGGAGCAAATGCTACACATAATTTTTTTGCATCTATTTTTAAGTAAGCAATTAAGTCAAACACAATAACCATACATGAACAATCCAAACTTTGAATAAGAAAAATCAACTGTCAGGGAAAGGCCTGGGCTGACTTTGAGTTACCAGCCTGTCAAGAAGCCACTGAAGTACCACAGTGCACCTTGCGTGGCTGTGGCACTCGGTGACTAAGGGAAATGAATGCATTACACTGGGTGAAGAATGCAGGGGAAATCAGCTACCAGGAGGGCTCTGAGATCACTGACCCTTGCCTTCTGCTGACACTGACAGCTTGGAGACACGTTGGTCTTCAAAGCTTCTCTGCTCTTCCCTCATGATATTACGCATACTACTGATAGTTTCTTT